GTTCAGAAAAAGATTTTTTTTTAATAAAAAGTCTAAAAAAAGAGAACACTTGTTGGACAACGTTAAAAAAACGCAGTTCTTGAAAGTCGTTCTTTCTTCTTATGAAACCATTAAAAAAAATAGAAAATTCAAAGTCATTCCTTTAAGAAAATCCATTGGTTTAGACTGTTCCTGGAGGGGAAAACTTTCTTTTCATAAGGAATCAAAAAATGAACTAACTAACATTATTTTTTGTTAACTAACTAACATAGTAGCACAATATTACTATTATAAAATCCATTGGTTCAGAAAAATATATATTTTTTAAAATAAAAAGTCTAAAAAAAAGAGAACAATTGATGGACAACGTTAAAAAACACAGTTTCTGGAAGTAGTTCTTTCTTCTTAAGAAACCTTTTTAAAAAATGGAAAATACGAAGTCCATCCTTTAAAAAATCCACTGGTTAGATAAATTTCTTTTCCTAGGGAACCAAAAAAAATTAACAAACTAGCATTAAGTATAATTTAGGGATTAGAAAAAAAAAACCAATGGTCCATTAAAAGATTTTTTAAATAAACGCAGTTTCTGTAAGTCGTTCTTTTTTCTAAACAAACCTTTTTTAAAAAATGGAAAATTGAAAGTCAATCCTTTAAGAAAATCCACTGGTTTAGACTGTTCCTGGAAGGGAAAAACTTTCTTTTCATAGGGAACCAAAAAATGAACAAACTAACAATAAGCGCAATATTACTATGATAAAACCCATTAGTTCAGAAAAAGTTGCTTTTTTAAATAAAAAGTCTAAAAAAGAGAACAATTGTTGGACAACGTTAAAAACGCAGTTGCTGAAAGTCGTTCTTTCTTCTTATGAAACCATTAAAAAAATAGAAAATTCAAAGACAATCCTTTAAGAAAATCCACTGGTTTAGACTGTTCCTGGAAGGGAAAAATTTTCTTTTCATAAGGAACCAAAAAATGAACAAATTAGCAATAAGCACAATATTACTATTATAAAATCCATTGGTTCAGAAAAACATTTTTTTTTTTTTTTTTTAATAAAAAGTCTAAAAAAAAAAGAGAACAATTGATGGACAACGTTAGAAAAACGCATTTTGTGGAAGTCGTTCTTTTATTTATTTTTATAAAACGTCTAAACAGCAGTTTGTAAGTCGTTCTGTCTTCTCAAGAAACCTTTTTAAAAAGTGGAAAATTGAAAGTCAATCCTTCAAGAAAATACACTGGTTTAGACTGTTCCTAGGGGTAAACTTTCTTTTCATAGGTAACCAAAAAAATGAACAAACTAACAATAAGTACAAATGTTATTATTAGAAAAAAAACCATTGGTTCATTAAAAGATTTTTTTAAATACAAAGTCTAAAACGCATTTTATGTAAGTCGTTCTTTCTTCTTAAGAAACATTTTAAAAAAATGGAAAATTCGAAGTCAATCCTTTAAAAAAATCCACAGGTTTAGGCTGTTCCTGGAAGGGAAAAACATTCTTTTCATTGGGCACCAAAAAAATGAACAAACTGATAATAAGCAAAATATTACTATTATAAAATCCATTGGCTCAGAAAAAGATACTTTTTTTTAAATAAAATGTTTAAAAAAGTGAGCAATTAATGCACAACGTTAACAATGTATTTGTTACGCTGAAATTAATTGTGCAATCGGATTTTAAATTGATCAAATAACGACAGAATTATAGCAAACAGTATGAAAAAAAGGAATTTCGTTTGTTTCGTTGTTAATTACAATAATTTGCTTCTCCACTAAAGTAAATATTAACTGCCTTTATTTTTAACATTCTGTCATTATTTGTCCAACTGCATTATGAGAGCAAATCTTAATTCCTGTAAGTAAATAAATTTTAAAATAACACCTACTCGGTCATATTCAGTATTGCATTGAAATGTACGACTTGTTTATTGATAGTTGTGGCATTTAAAGTCTTTCAAAATTCAGGATGTTTAGGATCGTATGTAAAATTTTGAAATTGAACTGGGCTCTTTTGAATTTTTTTTTATTGGTGCAAGAGGAATTCAGACGAGCCATCAAAAAACGACACTATGTGTATAACAGAGTTAAAGGTAGCTTGGCGTTGGAAGAGGTCATCAAGTTTGAATGGTCGACCTTACCCGTGTTTCCTGGCCGGATATAAAAAAAAACCGGACCTAACGTTGAATACAGGAAAAAGTACGATTTGTTATTAATTCCAACGTTTAAACAATCGTAAAACATTAAATGACAACAAGAATGGACAAGTTTATCCAAGGCGAACGATTTTTCGACAAGAACCAAACATTTTTTGCTTTTTCCCTTAGGTTTTTGGTTTTATTTCAATCGTTTTACGTTGTTTCATAGGTTTTTTTATCAATGCTTAATAATCAATAGACAAATATACAAAAATAATATGAAAAAGAAGGATTAAAAGTTGATAGGGGGGGGTAGAAGGCGGTTTCACGCAAAAACTGACATTTGTTGATTTTTTTTTTTTTTTTGATTATGCTTAAATTATTTTAACGCTCTGTAATGGGCGGGTGATCGCTGTTTGTTAATCAGTAGAAAAATATACAAAAGTAATTTGAAAAAGAGAGGGTTAAACTGAAAGAGTGGGGGTAATTGGCAGCTTCTCAATATAAACGAACTTTTTAGCATTTTACCACAGGCTTTTGGCTATATTTCCATGTTCTCTTATAGGCTGCTGTCATCAAGAAAAATACACAACAATAATTTGGGGGAAAAAAAACGAAGAGATAGGAATAAAGGATCTTCTGTAAAATATCTTTGAATGTAACTTTTCTTTACAAACTTCCTCCCCTTTTTTCTTTATTTCTTTTTTTAAGCATTTCCCTTAAGTTTTTGCTTTTATTTCAATCCTTTTACGATGTTACATAGGTTTGTTATCAATGTTTAGCAATCAATAGACAAATATGCAAAAATAATATGAAAAAGAGTGGGGGTGAAAAAGTGGGGGTACAATGGGGTTTCAAGATTTTATGGTTATATTTCAATTCGGTTAACATTATTTTGACGGTGAGATATGATTGTTATTAATTAATAGAAAAATACGCAAAAGTAATACGAAAAAGCAAGGGTAAAAGTGAAAGAGAGGGGGTAGGCGGCAGTTCTGATAAAAATTGATATTTTTGGCATTTTTCATTGGCTTTTCTAATATAAGAGAATTGGAATTTGATTTTTATAGATTAGTGGTAAAATACCCAGTAGAAGTACACACAAACGTAATATCAAAAAGATGAATAGAAATGAAAGAGTGGGGGTAGAATAAAGGTTCTCGAAAGAATTAGTACTTTTAACGTTTTTATGTTAAATTTTAATGTTATATTTTCATTAATTTACCATTATTTTGACGGTCAGATATTGTTGTTTTATAATTGATAGAAAAATGTACAAAAATAATACGAAAAAGCGAGGGTAAACGTGAAAGAGAGGTGGTACGGGGGCAGTTGTGATAAAAAATGTCGTTTTTAGCAATTTACCAAGGGCTTTTTGGCTGTTTCCATTTCTCTCATCACTGTTATAATCAATAAGTAAAAGATATTCTATAAAATATCTTTGAATGTAACTTCTCTTTACAAACTTCCTATCTTCTTTTTTTAAGGCTTAAAAGTGGAAGAGTGGGGGGGTAGAATGGGTTTTCACGAAAAAACACATCTGTTGCATTTTCGCATAAATTTTGTGATTATATTTAAATTATTTTAATCTTAATCGGCCTGTTATCGCTATTTGATAATCACTAGAAAAACAGAAAAATAATTTAAAAAATAAATGTTTAATGTGAAAGAGTAGAAGGCTAGATAAGAACTGACATTTGTAGGATTGTCTCTCAGGGTTTTTTGTTATATTTCAATTCTTTAACGTTCTCTCATAGGTTTGTTATCAATGGTTAATCAATAGAAAATTATAATGTTAAAAGTAAGGAGTAGAAATGATATAAAACCTCTCGTTCAAATACGACGGTTTCCGTTGGGATTTTATCCCTAAACAACAATTACTTTAACCCTCTCTTATAGGTCTGTTATCGCTCTATAACAATTAAAAGAAAAATATACCGAAATAATATGAAAAGAAAGATTAGAAGCGGAAGAGTGGGGGTAGGACGCTGGTTCTCTATAAAAATGTATATTTTTACCATTTCTCTCGGATTTCAATTATAACCTGAATTTATTGAAAAACAGAAAAAGTATCGGAGAATATTACAGTCTCGAACCCCACTCCTTGGGTTCCTCCATTGTCAGATAATTTTCTTAAATTTTTGAAATATACTTTTCGTTTTAATCGGTCGTTTTTGGCAGGTTGTTTTATGGTTGTTCGACTCGGAGGCGTGTGGGAGGACGCCAGACAGTCTGTTTGGGAGGGTTTTTTCCCCTCAGCCTGTTTTTGTAATTTCTGGCCCTTTTAAGTTACATATATTCGGTGGGCGGGTTTATCGTCTTGTATCGTTCGCCAACGCCTGCACAGACGGCATTCTTTTGAATAGAGTTGAGCAACCCCGTTGCGAAATGGGCCACCTTGTACCTCTTGTGGCCTAAAGACGCGTGATTTCCCCGGAAAATCTAGGAAGAGAAGTAAAACGGGACGAGACACAAGATCACAAATAGGATATGGTACGCTCCTTACTCGACATCCTTGGTCCGAAATTGGAGCGTGACATTTACCCAAAACCGGCTCGGATGGAAAAAGGAAGGAGCCCACTTTTTCACAATCCCACACCGTCCTCCTTATATGTTCGCGTTGCATAATCCCCTCGCGGAACAACATAATCCATACCTCAAAAACCAGGATTATACTCTCCTCGGCATTTTTTGTGAACATTGTCACGCGATGTTGCGGAATGGAAAACTGTTTTCACGCCCGGCGCGGCATCACGTCGTAACCGGGTCAAAGCCCATTAGTTTAGCCGCTAGGGTAGTTTTCAAACGGGAAATGAGTGAAAATTGACTCGAAAATAGAGTATCGGTTTTCTTTTGAATTTTTTTTAACATGGTCCTTTGCCTTACAGGTCCTGTGCCATGCTCTCGTCGACCAGGAGTTCACGCCGGTCGTCACGGCCACATGCAAGGCCGGCTACATGACGATCAAGATACAGACGAATTCTTCTTTCATCGGTAAGTTGTCGTTTTGAAAGTTCTCTAATGGGAATGGCCTTGTGATGACGATAGGAAATGACTCAGGGGTGCGGCCTGCCGCGGTACACACCCGAGGAAATCCGTCTACTTTTTGAATATAATGCATGCGCTTAGACCTTCTGGAGAGCCGTCGATACCTCATCGATCGGTCCTCAAAAGATTTCAAAAATCTATAACTCCTTTACTACTGTTTTCCTTTAATGTCTCAATACCAAACCCCTTAACCTATTAACGTTTAAGTAGCCCCCAATTGAGGTTGGACTCGTGGTGGTCGTGGTTTGAAGATAAACTTGCGTCCCAGGCCAACCGAATCCGGAGGTAGAGCTTCCCTTATCTCTAGGGGTGGCTGAAAGTGGAAACACTGGAAGCCACCAGACTCCCGGGGTAGCAGTTGCAACCCTGGGCATCCGGTAAGCCTAGGTACGAATGTAAAATGAACCCTGAGTCCTAGGACAAAGGGAAGACCCCATAACCATTTGGATAAACTTCTGAATGGATATTTTAGTCTTAACCCACGGGTTCCAAAGGCAATATCATAAAGTCCTCTTTGTACCGTTTCCTTTCACTTCGTTAATTGTGATACTGTTGTGATTCAATTGTGAGACCTTATGGTCCAGTGTTTTTTAATTGTTTTTTTTTATGTTTTAGGCGCGGTACACGCAAAGGACTACAGGACACCATCGTGCCTGACTTACGGCAACGGCACTTCGTCTGTCAGCCTCGTCGTCAACCTGTTCGCCTCGACGCAGTCCTCTGACTACTGCGGCGTTCTAGTCTCAAACGTAAGAGTCAAAATTATACAACAGGAAAACGGGGGCCGAACAAGTGAGAGTGCGAACTAGGAAGTTGGGCCCGGTAGTGTAAGAGGGGGCTTAACGGTCTCGGGGTGAAAGTAACCAACGGTCACACAACGCCGGCCTTTTCAGGCCCGAATCCCCGGCTCGAATTTCCCCGGTAGTCGAGGAGATGACGAAAAAGAGACCTCTGGGTTCAACGCCCACGGTGTCTCATCCCGGCCTATAACGTCACTACCTGGTTAATTGGTTAATAGGTGAATTGTTGAACCGAGAGGATGCATGAATCCCACGCTTCGTTTATTTTATTGTTATATTTTTAATCACGAAAATATAATTATGACGACAGTGACATTGTGAAAAAAAATTGGAAGGGGGAAACCAACAAGGTGAAGCGGACCGCAATAACCGCATCGCCTATGTTGCGAAAGATTCGGCCGTTTGAAATCTCATGATTATGATTACAACATACTTGATGGAAAACTGTCTTCCTATCTTGGATTCTATGATCGTGCGAGAATTTTTATAGGTTTACCGCAGAAACACCCGCTCGATTTAAATTCATGATTATGTCTGTGATTCATTAACGTATCTTTATGCATGATCATGGCGCTAAAGAGACGAAAGTATGTTCAATCATGCCTGTACTGTGAAGGGCCAAGGTTTATACTGATTTCACCTAATCTCTACAATTCTTGATAGATTTTTCTCTTTTTTTCAGAAAACCGAGGAGCGTTCCCTCCCTATAGCCGTTAGGATACACAAGACTCTTGAGCTCGCAGACGACAAATTCTACGTGATCACGTGCGGGAAGGCGGGCTTCAAAAACGCAAGGTGAGGTCTTTTTGTCTTTTCCCCGAAGGGATTCTATGCGAATGGCACGACCGTGAGTCATGAGCATAACCAGTCTGACTCAACTCAACGGCCAAATAGACCGGATCGCTCCACGTCCAGGTCTAAAAACGGGTTGAAAAAAAAAAAGAAAAATTCCGCGACTTTTGATTCATAAATTCCCTGGAAACTGTGACGTCATCATTTCGAAGATTGGTTAACTGATAATCACTGTACCTATCATAGGGTTAATTATTTTTTCCAGGAACGAGACGTCTCTCGTGTCCCTGAAGATGCTGGACAAGGAGAAGAAACGGAGACTGCAAGAGGTCTTCTACAGCCATCCTTACGTTATGCGAGCCGAGATTTCCAGGCCTGATGGTGAGTCGAAGCGATGGTTTTATATATATATTGCGCGTGTCATCACGCAGGATGCTTGACCCCGAACATCTTTCGCAAAACCACTGAGAGCAGTTGAGGCATTTCTAATCGCTGTGGGTTTCAAAACGCGCACATCTGTTTCTTTCTAGTTTTGTAAATTGTTTAAAGCTTAATTTGATCCACCCTGTATATAATGTACTGGAAATGCCAGACCTTGCTTTTTTGCTGGGTAACTGAGGACAACCAAACCTTTCGAACTCCCCCCCCTTTAATGGGAAAATGTGACATCTTGAGGTAGGTTGGTGAACCGGAATTTAAATCATTGGAATTGATAAAAAAAAATGTCCATTGTGTATCCATAAAAGGACATGTTGACGTGGTTTAGCACACACACACAAATGGAGAAAAACTCAAGTTGGACGTAAATCGGCCATCTGAGGTCCGCCAAGTCTCTTTCTTCCACACTTAACTATTTCAGTTCTTAAATAGTCTTTGAAAATTGTTTTGAAACGAATTTAATATTTCCTATTGTTGGAATTCACCAATTTGATGACGTCATATTTAGAGAGTTTGGCAGTAGATTTTGGCAAATGTGACGTTACATTTGGGGAGTTTTGAAATTTGAACAATATATTACTGCCCCAAAGTCTTGTTAGCAATAGTGCTAGTTGATGAGTCATATGTGATGGTTTTGCAGATCGGATACTGGCCGTCCGTGGTCTACCCCGTCTCGGTCTCGAAACCATGCTATTTTTAATATTTAAAAATTTTAAAAATTCTCGTGTCGTTCTTACGTTTTCCATTTTCCTTTAAAGGAACATTGCCAAGAAAATCACTTCAATACTTTTCTCAACGCCATATTAACCATTTTGGTGACGTCAGATTCGGGGAAGTGGTGAACCGTGATAGGCTTAACAGTTAAGGATTTTTGAAAGAAGCTGTGATAGATATTTTCCCGTTCCATCGCTTTAAAAAATAGACATTCGGTAGCGAAGGAAAGGGAATGTTTTGCTCGGAGCTGAAACGAAACTTTTTGTGCTCGGTTAAAATGAAAAATTTCAACTCCAGAAAGTTGGGAAATTTTTTTCTGTCGGAGAAACAAGAAGAGCGACTCGCAAACAAACGAAGTTTCTGCCTATGCAAATCGCTTTTGAATCTCATTAGCCTACAAAAAGGTGTTAGCGCTTCCTTTCCGTGGCTTCTTGAATTATTATTCAGGAAATAATGGACGGTCAGATTATGATTGGTCTGCGAGTCGGTGAACTCGTGTTGAACCGGGACAGGGTCACTTACTGGGTTTTCGCGGGTTCCTCACTGAAGATGGCGCAATGCCGAACAACTCAAAAACCCTCGAGAGGAGGCAAACCCTCCAAGTAAGTGAACCTGTGCCGGTTCAACACGGTCAGATGGTATTATTTTTATCATCTCTAAACCCTTTATCTATTTTAAAAAATGGAGCTGTTTTGTAGAGGAATAGCGCAGATTTGACCAATCTATCAGTTGTTGAAAATTGGCCTTTCTTTTTTAGAGTCCACCCGAACAGACTGGACTCGCTAATAAATACACTTCTTTGTTTCAGGGACGTACGGAGTTCGAGTCAAGTCCTGCTTCGCCTTCAACAGGAAGAACAACAGCGTCACCCTCATCGACGACAGGGGGTAAGCCTTCCATGATCATATTCTTGTTTTTTTACGCTTCTTCGACGAACCGTGTCGGGAATTTTAATGCAGGCCACGTACCGGAAGGCGGACAAGGATGGGTTACCTCATCGAGTGATTAGCATAACAAAATCCCTTCGGCCGTACATTGTTGCATGGCATAATGAGAAAAACAAAAACAGTCATACACACACAAAAAAACGGACTATTTTTGACTAAAAATGATTATGACATCTTCAACGTACATTTTGTTTGAATATTCTTACGGATTATTACGTAATTCATTTGTACGATAGACAAGTTTGGTCTCTTGTTGGCTTTTTCGTTTTGTTGGAAGAAATATTTTGTCGAAAATGTATTTTTTGACCTGATTCCATAGCCAGGTCAAGATGGGCGGAAAGATCCAACAGAGGACTTCATTTCCGTCCTGACATCATTAGTAAATTGAGGTGGTCCATATTTAAATTTTCAAAAATTTGCCCGCTACAACGCCTCCCCTTTGAGGTATCAGTAGGCAATTCTGTGACGTCATTTGTTTCGTGACGTATTTCAGTATTCCTTGGTTAATTGGATAAAAAAATATGGATTATACACTGACAGGCAAAAAAATTGTAATAATTGTATTGTGTATTTAAAAAAAATTTGTAATATAACTTGATTTGTGTATATTTTTATATATTAATCAAATAATCAAAAGAAGATGATCTCAATAAAGATCGAAACGTTGGTACGATAAAGAAAATGTTTTTCTGAAACCTACATCACACCAGACCGCATCTCACGATTTCTGAATAATTAAGGATTTAGTGTGTTTACCTCTAATTGAAATTCCCGATTTAATATAGCGTAGAATATTCTTTTATCGAGAAATGGTAAAAATCATTGTTTGAAAGTTCTCCCATAACGTTTTATTATCTTCATCTGTCGAAGAGAACATCTGCGTTCAGACTTTCTTACTTCACGTTGTCCTGACGCAACCGCGCGCTTGATGGTTAATCGGCTGGCAAGACTGCGGTAAAAAAAAATTAGATAAGGAAGTATATTTCGCAAATCCTTTTCTTAATTTCATAAAATCTCTAATCGGATTTGCCCTGGAGCGCATCTGCCCGAGAAAAACGTTGATTAGACAATGGGCAAAACTCGCCGAAGATGTCTTTTCACATTATCGTGTACTGTGCCTTCTTTCCCAGCGTCTCGGAAAAGCGAGACGAGGAGGCCGTACCAACAGATTTACTGTTTTTTTTATGAAATTGTTTAAAACTGACAAATGTTGATGGTAGGAACTAGAGACCCAGTGGGTTGAAACCGGTCGGTAATAAAATCAATTGAACAAAGAAAGTTTATTTTTTGTGGGCTGATATCATCAACCTGCTAAACAGAGTTTTTAAGCATTTTCTTTTGGTTATGTATAGATATTTCTTTTCTTTCCGTTGTTCTCACTCTCTTGGTAGATTACTAGGGCGACGAACCCGAGGAAAAGTGAAAACGTCTCACGCCTTATGAGTTTATAATAGACTCGTATTTTTTTCCTTCTTCTGTCTTATGTTTTTCTTCTTTCTTCTTTTCCCTCTCTAGTAATTTACTCATTTAAACGTCCATCCTCCCCAGGTGCCCGGTGAACAAGCAGGTGATCACGCCTTTCAGCTACAACGAGGCGGACGGGCACGCCGACGCCGAGCTCCGCTCCATGTTCCAGTTTCCAGATGGGAACCAGATCCATTTCCAGTGCGACGTGGGCGTCTGTAAAGGTGAGTTAGGTATATCTGAGGTATATTTCTTAAAAATATAAAATTTCCTATATTTCTTGAAATAAAATTAGAAAAAAGTAGAAAAACATCTGACTATAAAGGTGTACTAAAAGTTGACCGTCTGTTAACCAATTTTACCCTTTAGGTTTATTTTAAATATACTTTCATTTTCTTTTGTTTCTTTTACGCCCAGGATTGAATTCCAACGCCAAGGCCTCTAAGTTGGAATAAAGTGGGCGCGCCTACTTTTTCTTTTGTCTTTAATGATTTTTTCCTTTTCCAGGAGGCTGTCCGGAATTGAACTGCGATGACGTGGCGACAACGAGGCCTGGCACATACGACGGAGCGGTCGTCGCGTCGACCAGTGTCTTCGTCCTGCAACCCGGCGACGCCGCAGGTGGGTCCGACTGACGTCACTGCCCTTTGGCATTACATCACGACTGCCAATTTGGTGAACCCGCCCTTTAATCGGGCGCAAGGGTGGTTTTAAAAACAAAATTTCAATATTAAAAAGACTTTCAGGTTCGAATGTCATGTCCAGCAGAGCGAGACAGAATTGAAAAATAAAAAATAAAACAAAATAAAACTATAATCGGACCTTGCGGTCTGGAAAACAATCCGCCGTGTTATATAATCCGTTGTTTTTCAAGGGCTCCGGGACCTGCGCACGTTCTCCGCTGTCAGATTTCACCCGTGGGGTTTCGCTTTGTTTTCTTTCCCATTTTCGTAAATCACAGCCAGGCTTAAACGTCCGTGTTGATCGCCCTCCTTCTGCGTCCGATGATCCGTTAATTTGTGTATTCCGCTCGTTATCTTTCTACTCAGCTCCTTTTTTTTCTTTTTTGTTGTACCCACGCTCTGATTACCAATCGACCTGGCAATGAAAGTCGCCCTTGATATTCCCCGTCCCTTCCAACTGGGACGTGGGATGGGAAGTGCAAACAGAAATAGGGAAGAAAATGGAAAGTCGCATCTTCGCCAAGTTACTACTCTCTTCCGAAAGAATAAAAATTATAAATAAAACCACCTTAAGGCGTGGATTTTTTTTTTTTTTTTGTTACATCAAATAAAAACAATACCCTTCGAAACAGGACAAAAAGATGACTGACCTTCGTCTCGCTCTGCACGAATGCAGGATTATCTTTTAATCTTTGCACAAAGACAGTGGGGTTCCGGGCTGTAGTTTTTCTCCAGTTATACATTTTTTGGACAAAACCAACATTAATGTTTGTTCATCTATCTTCAACGATTCAACCTCGCCTCCAATCGAGGTACGTCAAACTATTTCGGACTTTTCCGATGGTTTTTGTCGTCCCATGCTGTATTTATCGTTTAATTGTGGCTTCATGGGACCAAGACAATTTTAACCTCTGTTTCTCATTGTTTAATGTCCGCCTATTGTATGATTTTCGATCATTTATGTTATATATAATATTATATATAGGTTATATATACCTTCACAGAAGTATGGAATGTGTTCTGCGGTCTCCTTGCCCTGACAGTATCTACTCAGTGTTTATTTTGTCTGTACTCCTGTCCGGTGGATGTTCTTTCTTAAGTGGCATGCCCTGTCAGAAGTCCAACCAGAATCCTGGTTCGGTTGCGGTTGCCTTCCATTCTTTTGTAAGTGTTGTGGATGGTGCTTATATGAATCTCTTTGCGTGCCTCATACCTGTGGTAGTGTTCAACCACGTTTTGGACTCATTGAGGATCCATTTTAAGAAGTATCCGCTTTTGTGGCAACGTGCTAAGCCACAGTAGGTTTCAGGACCTAGATAGTCCGTGTTGGCTCCCTCTTTGTCCGTCAACCTTTTTGTTGTCTCTATGACCCGAGTGCCCAGGGTTAGGCTAGTAGTGACGGTGACTTCCGTCAGGGCCTCCGTGCAGTTCAACTCTCTGCCTTCACCTCCATGAGACTAGCGCCTTTAGTGCTGCCTGATTGTCAGATAAGATGGCTATCTTCCGGGAACGTATTCCTGGCCTTTTAATTTCCCTGGCGCAGTGTTCAATCGCTATGATTTCAGACTGGAAAATTGCAGCATATTTACAGATAACGCCCATAATCGACTAATGGCCCGTGCCACTGTACTCGTTGAGGACCCACCCTGGGAGTCATGGCCCACTCTATGTGGAACCACGGCGACAACGGGTGGTATAATGTGGTTGAGACTCGAGACCCCGAAACGGCTCACCTCGTGTTCTCTTCCACGCCCCTGTTTCTCAACCCGAATTCCTTCATTCTATCCTGTGACCCCTCCTAACCCTTGGTTACAAGGGGGGTATCCGGGCACAAAATAATGGTGCAGCCCAGAGGGCGTGCTCTAAAGCACAAGCCGTCTTATGTCGGCCTCAGGGTCGGCGGGTGCCTTAGCAGAGTCACACGAGGGCCAGTGCACCAGATCCTGTCTACAAAGATGGGGGAGGGTTGTATGGCCATCTGTACCACGGGGTGACTCAACGTTTCAAAAACCAGCCCAGAGTCACATTGGGATGGACTCGTGGTGGCTTGTGGTGTCGCCCCTGGCGGGAACTTAGACAGAAGCTGTCTTCTATCTGGGACCTTTCGTGAAGCGTGCGTATGGCCAATGTATTACCCCCCGTTCCTCACGGGAGACGTTGCGACCGGACGACAGCATGTAAGCGTTGAGGACGTCATGATCATGCTACAGTCCCTCGAATGCGTAAGTAAGCGATTGGAAAAGGGTAGTGATATCGGCGGTCTTTGACTCGAGTATGCTTTGCATTGTTGTGCGTATGACCGGCGTGGTACCCTTGGGGAAGCGAAGGATCGGACCACCTAGGCTAGACCTATGGCGTCCCTCGATTACGTGCAGCAGGTGTAGGCTGAGCTCGATAAGAGACCTTTTACCGTAGACAGTGCTCATCTAGGGGGTGGGTAGCAATCCCACTTTAATCCGAAACCGCTGTCGGGGCGTTCCCGAAGGTTTCTACGCTAGAGGAGCCTCTACTCTCAGAGAGATAGAGTTGTCTTCTCTATCTAGGGAGTACGCGAGGGGGGGACGGGCTGATGTATTTCGGCTCGTTAGCCCCTCGCGTGCGGCGTATGACCCGACGCACAATGCGGGCCCGACCATTCGGAGTGGACAAGCGGAGAGCGTGGCTACCGACCCTTAGGGGCCGGGACACCACTACACTAATGCTGCGGCGGTAACACTTTTCCGTCGTATGCAGAGGTGCGTCAGCTCTCATCTTGAGAATCAAAACGTCCGATAAGGCCGCATAGGCTAGGTGCGGACGTTAAAGATCCTCTTGTCTTGTTGACGATGAGTAATCGGGAACCCAATGTACTCGTTGAGGATCGAAGAAATCAGCATTACGCCGCAGGAGTTTTAGATTTGCCTAAAAGGACGATTGCCGGGAATTCAAATGATACCAGGAGATTGCAACGTGTACTCGGATACCAGGATCGGGACCCCCAAGAGCCAAGAGACCAGCTGACGACCGATTTATCAGATTCACACTCATTCACACGTCATTTTCCATTGCTTCTGAAACGTCTTAAATACGTCAACTGTGCGGGATATGCCCGTTAGCGCTGAAACATTAAAAAGGAGACTTGCAGTCGACGTAGCGCACCGAATCGCCTACCTCTTACCAAACATCGTTTTGTTTCCTTTTCTCTTGGTTTCTTCTTGCCTAACTTTTCTATTTTCTAATCCAAGACTGTACAACGTGGTGCAGATTGCGTCGGTTGGGGCGTTATGGGACGTATGTGCTCTCACCTCTTGTTTGGTTTCATTTTTTATTTTAGAAAGTTGTTACGCAAAGCTGAAGAGATTTGAAGATACTTTACGCAACGGGATCACCATCGTCGTTCACGAAATTCTGAATCGTTTTATTGTGGAGGCCGAGCGCTTTTATTGTATATTTATTGCGTGAGGAACCCAACTTTGGAACTTTCTCACCTTCCCAAATGCCTTGGGTTGTCAGCGATGGTCAATTTGCAAGAAAGATTGTCTGCAAAGCTCACAGTACATCATCATCTAGGTAACAAATCTTTCCACGACTTCCTTTGTCTTCATGCTTAAGTCCCACTCACAGTGCCATCGTCCCATTCTTCAAGTACGCTTCTGGGCACCGTTCCGACTGAGTTTAAATTCGTAAAATGAAATTACGCAAAAATCATGCGTTGACATCTCGGTAAAAGCTGAATTATTCCCAAGTAACAAAATGTTATTTAGGTAAACAAACATTTTTGTTTGGGGGAGGATTAAAAAGTGTCGACATTCGTACAAAAGAATAATTCATCAAACGTAAACTGATTATTATACAGAGGGGTAATTGAAATAAAACATGAAAACCTGCATTATTTTCTGGATTACCCAATACTCGCCAAATAAAAGGATTTATGTATTTGGACAACGATTTAAAAATATAAAACATTAGGTTGTAGTTCATTATATAGAGGGGTGGTTGAAAGAAAAAGCTTGTATTATTTTCCGGACGGGTCGGAATTTAAAAGGAAATGCGTTTGGTTTTGAATAAAACGCGGGAAAATCCGTCCACGAGCTGCATGATCTGGGTCAAAACTGGAGCTACCTCGATCAAGGGACGAACATGATTGAAATAACGCCTGGAAATTTTTTAAAATATGTCGTGCATTGAATAGGACTTAAAATTAAAAGCATTATTTATTTATTTTTTATTTTTTTATTTTTTTTGCAGCTCTTGCTGAAGTGGTCGAAGCATCGATCTGGGGCCCGAGTTGGCTTCTCTACCTCGCCATCGCCCTCGGCCTGCTCTTCCTCTTAATGCTCATCGTCAACGTCTTCCTTTGTTCCGCCATGACTTGCTCCTGCTCGAGGACGCAGGTCGTAGAAAAAGAGCCGAGCGTGATTGAAGACTACGACCCTTATAGGAGCTGGCACGGTACCCAGTACGGCTCGAGGTACTCCCTCAACGGTAAAAGGGGCTACGTCTCCGGCGGTTCCACCCTCAACTCGGCCAGGTCCGTGTCGACCAACAGCGACCACTACGCCATAGTAGAATCGAGCAGGCACCACAGGTCGCCCAACCATCTCGGATACCCGAAACACTGAAAGCCATAAGGGCGAGCCCGGATCGTAACCTTTTAATCCTCGCTCAAAGCGTATCGCGGGCTATTCGTCCAGCCCTGGACCGCCACCAAGGTTACATCTAACATACAGCCTTGCAAACGCACTGACATGTAAATAATATAAATATTTGTTTTAACTAATTTTATATACTACCATTCGTAACAATAAATGAACTATTAAGGATGCTGCATTTTCGTCCTTCCCCTCACATATTTTATCTATGACTTCTGTTCCCCCATCCCTCAGACCCAACACTGATTTGGTTGAAATGGCGACACTCAACCGAGGATAAGTGTGGTAACCACCAAATTCCTGAAACGGCGTATCTAGCCCCTCTATCCCTCTCGTGCCATTAGCTTTTTTTCATCTCAACTAAAAACCTTAATTAATTGTCATGTATTAATTGGTCAAGCGGACCACGAAAGTAGTGAACTTCTACGAATTCTGCTCTTAGCAACAATGGAAGAACGGCGCAATAGTTGATGTCTCTCGTATTTGCTACATACAACGTTTATGGTTTTGAGGCTTATTTTTGGGCGTTGAAAGGTATAAATTTATTAATATACTTTTTAAATTTCTGTTTGTATTAAATTTTATTTTTTAACAAAGAGTTTTCATCCTCATCACGCGTGTCGTCTTCCATATTAAATTTACAATTGCCTATCCTATAATATATAATAATGGTATTCAATGTATTATTCAATATATCATGACCATCTCCGTGGTCATTTCATTTATCGCCGTGTTAAGGCGCATTTTCTTTATATTTATAATTTATCGTAAATTATGAACTCTCCTTCCTCTTTTTTATGTGTATACCTCAGCTGGAGGGTACAGGCCAACTGCGGCCCGAAGATAGAGCTACCCTCATCTACCTCATCGGGGGGTGGGTGAAGGTGGAAATACTAGAAGCCATCAAACTCCTGGGGGTGTTTCGGCACCTCTGGTCGACCGGTAAGCCTAGCAATAGGCAAGTACGGACGTTAAATAAACCCTGACTCCGAGTTGGACAAAGGGAAGACAGGGAAGTATGTTCGCATTCAGCGCCAACTTCGAGAAGTGTGAGGAGGCTATGTCGAGAATGATTTGTGCCAATGTAACGTCGTCAGCAAATGCAAGCAACCCAGCGAGGCCGTCACGTCCAGGACTTGCTGACGACGCCAGGTTAGAAATCGATCGATCAGGTTGAACAGCAAGGGCGACACCCCCCCCCCACCATGGTGATCGTGATAGTTGTCGCTCCACGATATGTCTTCTTACTGTCTCCACGAACTGCGGTGGGCTGGATAAGTGGCAGAGGGCTTCCTTTATGGCTGGCTGCGGCACGGTGTCAAACGCCTTGTCCACATCCAGCTGAATCATTGTCAGTCCCTCCCGGGGAGCTTCAAAGGAACTCGTCCAGGAGGAAACAGTTTTCGTATGCCCCGTTCAGCGTGACGAAGTTCTTCTGCCTCACGGACAGTCGCACCTCGCCGCTAATCCTCTTGAATATCCGTTTATCAGGGCTATGGTAATCGGTCTCCAGTCAGAGAATCTTAAGAGATTCTTACGATCTTACCTTGCTTTAATCAGCAATGCTCGTTTTCCTGTCACTTGCGGGGGTAGAGCCAAACGTGGCGAGAACCGTGAACAGCTTTGCCAGAGGGGTTCCATACGAGCCACCCTGGACATGTCCTCTGTGATGAGACCTTCAACTCCCGCGCTCTTTTCCTTGGCATCATTCCCATGTCGCCCCTCGTCAGCACCGCTTCACAGTTGTTCGTAAAACGAAACAACTGTGTCTGGCGGTTTACTGTGACCATCTAACCTCCTTCCATCCAACCTCCACAGATCTCTACTCTCCACCAACTGGGCTAGCTTCGTAGGGCAGTTGCGGTACATCTCCTGCGTGACGGCATAGATCCGTACGTGATTGTAAGTTGTTCTACATTTCATTTATTTGACGAATCCATATTTTGTGAACTTGTTATGTCTATATGCATATTATATTCTAAAAGAATACAATTAAAAGAGAATAAATAATAGAGAAATTTGTTTTGTGGGGGATTCTTCATGTTATCTGCGGGGGGGACCTGAAATTTGTCCAATACCCTTCATTTCGGCCTGCCATCCTCGCTGGGTTTCGCCATTTCCCCGTCGTTAATGTATCTGTCCATTGAGTGCGCATCCACATAAATTACCTAACAAGTCAGAACATTTATTACCGTCACTCGAAAAGAATCGCCCAGACCCAACACCGATTTGGGCGAAATGGCGACACTCAACTGAGGATAAGCGTGGTAACCACCAAATTCCTGAAACATGTACCGCCTGAAAAATTTTCAAACAAACAAGCGTGTATCATTTAATATTTTTTAATGACGTCATTTCATTGTGCACATGCATTGATATTGTGTTTAAGGGGTTTGCATAGCAGAAATTGCAAGTCGATTTGACACAAAAAAGAAAGTAACGTTCACCTTAGGTTACACTTACTACGGCATTTACCAGGTATATTCTTTAGTGTTAACACGATATAAAAAAAAATGTTCAATTCATTTTATCCGTTTAGATATCAAATCAATACTGCGCTAAATACAAATTATGTCAAGACACGTGCGACTGTAAGTATCAAGCCGAAAAAATACTTCGAAAGAATTATTGTTCATAAACGGTAGTTTTATCATTATAGATATATCGAAGAATTCAACCAAAGCCCTTCGACGTTCGATGAGCTGTGCAAACAAGATCTACAACCATCATGATCGGTTCTCACTATGGTCATCATGGAAGACAAATTGCCAAAACTACACGATGAACTGCCCTTTCCAAAATATAATCTATAATGAGTACATCTACCCGCCGCGTTGGTACGTAATACGTATAATTAATCATTTCTTTCGTATTTGAAATGTTTCAATGTATATTATCTACATTTATTGTTTTTGAATAATATTTTTGGGCATTAAAAACTATAATTTATTAAAGTTGTGTTTCTGTTATGTCTATATCGAACCGTTCAAAAAGAAAGAACTTATTAATGTTATATTAGAACCTAATTTCTAACCATGGTATCCTTTCGAAATTTATTAATTTAATAATCTTTATTTCAAATGCAATAATTGTGAAGGACGCATAATATTATCACTAATACCGTCACTATCAGGCCCCCTGACGCTAAACACGCAGTTAAAAATATGATAAAAGAAAGATGGCAGCGTCAGTGGGCGGGGTCGTCGGAGAAGCTCTAGAGAGTCAAGAGCACGACCGGTAGATGGCCCTCAGAGAATCTGAGCAGGAGACGAGGGATCGTCCTCACGCGACTGAGGATTGGCCATACTCGGTTGACACATGGGCACCTGCTTTTGGGCCANAAAAAAAAAAAAAAAAAAAAAATACCGTCACTATCTGATTATTGGTTACTCTCGGTTTTCTTAGTTTAACACTACTATGTACTGTGTATAAGCTTGGGGCTAACTCGAGAAAGATATCCACGAGGAGTGGAGTTCTCTTCCTTTGCCAGTATCTGACAGTGAGAACTTTCTGAAATAAAAAACACAGGTTATATATACTTTTTAAATTTCTGTTTATATTAAAACTTTATTTGTTCATTATAGTTCGAGGTCCGATTGGCCGAATAACTTTTTCAATTAATTAATCTTTTATAAGGTATTTGTTGAGATAAAAAAGTCAGTGTCACGAGCGGGATTGGAACCCACGACCCTGCAGAGCTAGCTACCTCTAGCTCAAGTAGTAGATCAGCGGCGTATTTAGCCGAGGGTCGTGGGTTCGAACCCCGCTCGTGACACTGACTTCTTTTTTTACTGAATTTAATAAGTAAAATGAAGTATATCTTCACAAAAGCTCTCCATCGTCATTTCATTTGTCGCCTAGAATCGAATAGATTGCACGACATTTGAAAAATGGCAAAAAGGAGGGAAAATTCGAAAGGCGCGGTTGAGATGGGAAGTTGGTGTCCGAGTGGATCGAAATCACGATAGCTCAAGTCGCTGACTTTTTTATCTCAACAAATATCTTCTACAAAGATTAATTTATTATTTGTATTAAAACACAGTTGAGATCGAAAAAACTTCTTTATTACAAGAGCACGTGCACACGACTGAACTGACGGTCGCGCCACCTATCGATACATACAGACTAATCGATTAATGAGTGTTCGGCGGCTCCTTCAACAATATGTATTGTATGTTATTGAACATATACTGCAGCATGGAATTTTATTTTTTGACAAAGCGTTTTCGTCCTCATCAATATTAATTTACAATTGTCCGTCCTTTAAAATAATGTCTTTTTTTGTTTACATTGGTATTCGAGCTTATAATATATTATATTAGTAAATTACTGTAATATAATTAATTATTTTTAGTCATAATAATATGATGCTTTATTTAAGAATAATTACGAATTTACTTGGTTAAAAAAGAAACTAGAAAAGCATATACGGCTTGGATATCCGTCAGCCGGAGAGTAATACATAGTTTTGCTATAAGAATAATAATTAATAAAAAGAATACACAACAAATTTTAACAAAGGAAGAGAACTAGATTGGTTTGAGAAATTTGAAATTAAAAAATGTGTTTATAAAACGCATTAAAAAACCAGCTTCTCATTGGAACGTTGGCAGGTTCACTTTTGCAATTCATGTTGAAAGACGTGGTTGTAGAAATCCTTCAACCTGATGAGCTAAAGGCTTGAAATCCGGATCGTTGGAAAACAACTTGTGAGTAGGAACTATCTTTTTTAAAAAACACCCTTTATGTCTATTACATAAACTAATCTAATTGAGGGTCGTTGCGGGTTGAAAAAATCAGCGGTAATGATTTGTTTTCACAGAAAATATAAAATAATTCCAGTTCCAAATTTTTAAATGAATTATATTTGGTCACAAGCAATAAATATAACAAAAAATTTAAATAATAACCAACATACCGTAGTTTTTTTTTTTTTTTGTATTTTAAACAGTTTTTGCTTTAAGCATAGTGAGAAATTAAGTCTTTTGCAATAATATTGATTATAATATATATAAAATTACAATAAATCAATATACATATTAAAATAAATATATAAAAAGTAAAAACTAAATTATTTCCGCTTGTTACAGCATTAATTTATGAAATTGGACAACTTTGTATCCCTTCAGTTTATAGAAAAAAAAAATGAAATCAATTTTGTTGTGAATATGTATTGTTCATTAAAATCGTACGATCATTTATCAGATTTTATAGAACATCTAATATTGGAAGAATTTCTTACTTTATTTTTTCTCTTGGGAATGTGATCTTAGAATGTATTGGGTGATAAATATTGAAATTCTAACATATATCAAGGAAATGATGTTGGGATGGAGAGATTTCATATTTAAAAGGTTCTTTAAATATATAAACAAACATTAAAGTTGGAATAGGAACGAAGATTTTGACGCATATGCTGCCTTGTATCAGTGTATCATATTTAGTTTGAAAATCACTTAAAACCCAGGAGTTATTTATAAATAATTAAAGCTCTTATAATTATATTTTTAGGCGGTTAAATAATTAAAGCTTTTTACTTAAGCATTTGTGTACAATAGTCATTTTGTTTTTGAAAAACAACTGCACAAAAACATACTGAATAGCTGAAAAAGCAAGAATGATCGAAACTATAAATGAAATATTGATTATCTTCGATATAATCAATGTCAGCCTTTAATATTATAATTTCATATCCAAATATTAACGTTAACAATTATAAAAATAAACATAAAAAATGTTTGCAACGTGTAAAACTAATAGAGATTTATGAAATTGTGTAATATTTGCATAAAAGAGCAGCATATGCGATGGTGACTAGCGAAAAGGAATGGAATTGATTACTTAAAAAAATAAAAAAATAACAATAATCACAGCTTGACAATGAGAGAAAGCACAGGTGAATAACTGAAACAGCGAAGTAACAAAAGCGCTTATTTTTCTCTTCATTTCTTAAAAATAAAACAAATCAAAAAAATCCCCCCTGGGCTTATTTGTAAAATTTGACTTCAGTCTCAACGACGTCCTTGAACAGCTCGTCGAGTTCCGTTATGTCCGTAGAGGTGTCGTAGCCACTCACGAAAGAGATTGTCTCCTCGGTGCAGTTGGCTTCCATTTCACGCAGCTGTTCGAGTACGTTTGGTTTCGATTCGACGGCGACGGCGTGCAGCTTGTGTAGGTTATGCGCCTTCTGCGAGTTAAAAATAATTTAGTCAAAAACTAAAAAATAATTAAAGGTTACAACACTCACCTCCCCTGCGGGTGCGACAGTGTGGTGCGAGATCTTGACAGACGGTGTGAAAACGAACGGTTTGAAAACTGAAACAGTCGGATCGGGCGTGCCCGTGAACCAGTGTGCACAAGGCTTGTCACCAAACAGAAGGGAGACTTGTGACGAGGTTGTAACACATCCTGAACCCAATCTCATGCAAATACCACTCTCTGTATCTCGCAAAATCTATATAAAAAAAATAAATAAAAATAGAAGTTAATTTCAATAATAAAATATTTTGATGGTTGTACCTTAAACATATCAGTGACTTGGAATTTATTTTCAGCAGTTAGGGACTTTAAAAGTTCATGCCCTTTATCAAATCTATCACAACCACCATCTGAGAAGGCCTTCGCCCAATCTAATTCGCCCTGACCGTCCCAGAGCTTGTTGTCCACAGCGTAGGTTTTTACACCATCAGCCATTTTGTCTATCCTCGTACCAATTGTCAACATATTGGAAATATTCCGCATAGAATCTTAAAACAGAAAGGGAAGGATAGTTATTTACAGTTATCAATATTTTTTTTTTTTTTACCTTTGACCTCTTGCGCAACCCAAAGCTTCCCAGCGGTTTCAACCACCCACGCCGAAGTAGGATCGACAATCAGGAAAGAATTCTGATACTGAGTCGAACCAGACTCGTAGCAGTTTCCCCCTTGTCCGTACTTTTCAAGAAGGCCAGTTATTACATCAACGGCCTCGACTGCCGTCTTGGACCTCTCTAGGCCGAGTCGGACCAGGTCCATGCCCAAGAGAGCTTCACCGCTTTCAGGCACTTTTGTGTAAACGGCCTCATTCCCGATGACGACGCCGGAACTATTCGCCCCCATCTCTGCGCCCCACATCCAAGTCGGTTTGCACAGTATAACGCTGAGTGTACTCTCAACTTGGTCTATCTCAATATAAGTACACTTCAAAATAAATAAAATTAAATTAAATCAAAAATACATAGAACGAGTGTTGGTGAAAAATTTACAACTGAGATACACACTTTGAGCTTCCCTGAATCGTGCTGAGCCTCAGGGATATAAACGATCTCCTGCACCTCGTCGCTGGGCCTGTCGGAGTTTTTTCCAAAAATCACACCGCCTTTTGTGAGTGGTGGCAGGACCACAAATGTATCACAGCTTCTTGCCATCATTATGATAGCAATAAAAACCTTTAGTCAGTCTAAAAAAAAAGAACAAAATTATTTAAAAAATGTTACAATTCACGACTGTTTTCCAATAAAATAATTTTGCCTTAGATTTACAATAGATAGTATAAATAATTTTGTAAAAGCAAGATAAAATCCATTTATGTTGTGTCTAATTGACCAAATTACTTATTTCAATTAATTATTCTTTTTATGTAAGATCTTGGTGGAGATGAAAAAGTCAGTGTCATAACTACACATAATGAGACCGTTGATTTACATGCCAAAGGTGCTACAGTCCACGAAATCAAATTAGCAAAAGTTGACACTAAACTGTTTCTTAAACACAAAATTGAAAGAAAAAAAAATGGCAAACATGGTACATTATTAGGACAGGAGGATCAATCTAAAAATCTATGTTCCCACAACCAAATCGTATCCCTTGGCTTTCAGGCATGATAGGAAGTAAAAGTTTCTTTCCTATTATATCCCCAATCCATACGTGGTGCCTGCTTAAAAAAAATTAAACTGAGACCCTCTCATAATTGCATGGCGTGAGATGTGCCGGAAAACTTTGTTATTTTATTCTGTCCACAGTATGAGAAAGAAAGATATTTTTTGAACAATTAACTCAGCTAGAAGTGGTTAGCAAACCTTTCAGTTTGGAGAGTGTTTTGGATTTATTGCTTTATGAATTTCTAGTCATGATAAAAAATGGAATTTGATATTTCATAGGTCTGTACTCTTGCTGAATGTTCCAAAACAAAGAATAAAGAAGAAAAAAAAATTGCTGAAAAATGACTAGGGATGTTTGGAATTTATGCTTATTCTATTAATTTTAATTCAATTAACCAATATATTCATGTTAGTTAGATAAAACAAAATAGAAAATACAGACCAAAAACAAACAAATGTAAATCCTCATTATTAATAATGGAGTTACTTAAGAATAGTAAGATGAAGATTATGCATTTTATAAACAAACACCTTTTCTTGTCTTTTATCCATTTTAATCCAGTTGTATTCTCTTTATCCATGGAAAGACATCATCTTTAACTAAAAGTTCGCGATATTATTATGAGAATAAGTCATAGAGGTCACCGGTCATCATCGCAGTTAGCGTTTCTCAGAGTGTGGTCTCCTGGGCTTTAGCCTTATCCTAGTAGCGGATCTCAGTACATTACGACGCTAAGGGAGGGTAGAAATATTGTCATTGCTGCAAGGAATGAACCCTTTCCATAGTGCTACAACCCTCACCAAGACTGGCAAAAGCACAGCTGCAATTGGAGAGGGCCAAACTCAGAGGAGTGGAGAGGACTACTAACCGGTCACTGGCATCTGAGAAAACATCTACACAACATGAGTATATACAGCAATGATCCCATTTGCAGATTATGTAATGAGGAGGAGGAAAGAGCCACTCATATCATCTTCGAATACGAAGCAACAGCTCAATGGAGATTTAACCTTAAAAACTTGGAGAATCAAATTGCACCAGCGACAGTCAATGACCTGATACTTCTAAGAAGAAGGATTGAGTCTATTGCACTGAACTAGGAACTAGGAAGGTACAATAAGCCAAAAGGCTGTAATGCCTGGGGAGTGCAAACCCCGCTTCCTAGTAACCTTTTTCACCATACCATAGTACCCTCTAGATCCTGAATGAAGTATAAAATGTTTTGGCAAGGCCATTTATCAATGAATCATGTATGGTTAGTTGGCCATATATTGTATGCACCTTTGAGATGACCTGTAGCTACAGCCATCTCATAAGGTGCAGCGAGCGCCTGGAAGAGAACACCAATGTTGTTATGTTTACTGATGTCACGTTGTCTATTTAGTAGGCGCTGAAGAGTCTACCTGGAACAAGGGATGCGTACAATGCCCCAGTTTGTGTTCCCTTCAGTGCAGTTTAGAGGAGGCGGTTTAAAGGTCTGGGCTGGGATTTACACTGGAGGACGAACTGGACTCCATATTGCTGAAGGTGACTTCACCGCAGCACGTTATGTCCAAGAAATTATCAAGGGATATGTCCCTCAAAACAGGGATTTTTGATTTCTGGGTGACAATGCCAGACCTCACAGAGGCAGAGTTGTTCATCAATGTTTAGAAAACCAGGGTATTTCTCACTGCCCCTTCCCCCATTGTCTCCAGCCTCCTATTGAGCACCCGTGGGATGCGTTGCAGAGAAGGCTTTTCGATCACCATCCGCAGCCAGTTGACCTTCAACTGGGTGCAGCATTGCAGCATCTATTGAGTGAAATGCCTTACGAAATTAATGACAATCTTATTAACAGCATGCCTAATAAATACACAGAGGTTTTAGCTAACAGAGGACATTACACACCGTATTCTAATAAATTTTAATTCAATTTATAATATAAATAAAATAAAATGCTAGGGATAGTAAATACTACAAAATTGGCAATACCCCTTTTCCTTTTTGAGCAGTTTACATACATATCTCTTATTATTTGGCCAAAATAAAAACTAAACAGATTTTAATAGGATGTTGTCCGGTGGAAAGAATAGAGGAGGAAAAATAGGGAGAGTGTCTTCCCGTTCGTATCGGTACCATTCTGGGAAAGAAGTCATTAGGAAATAAATTCAGCTCACCCAAATTTCCTCAAACGTCTGTCCCTCCGGGCAAAGAGGACTCCTCTCTCAGGGGGAGGGCAAAAAATCGGGGCAGAAGGAAGATTTAAAGAAACGCCAAACGATTAGAGACCGAAATGAGAAAGAGGAGCTGTCAGTGTCAAACCAGTGTAGCCCAAGGTCCCGTGGCCACTTTATACATATGAAAATAAGTCTAGTTTTCTATTCGATTATACAACACAACAAATAAATAACAAGATGGATCTTTCATTTCTAATCCGAGTTTTATATTAAAACAGACCCGAAATACAACAGTTATATTGTGTCGACACTACAGTCTTATACACGGAGGGGGCGCTGGGTTTCAAGACTACAGTTTTTTTAGTATCTTCAAGGCAAAGAAAAATATACACACCAAATAAGACTTAAAGAACACAACACCACAGAACAAGTGAAACGAAGAATGAGAGAGATATGTATGTAAACTGCTAAAAAATGAATAGGAAGTTAGCTAATTTTTCTCATCTATTCTTTTCACCAGACCTATTAAAACCTGTTTAGTTTTTATTTTGACCAAACAATAAGAGATATGTATGTAAACTGCTCAAAAAGGAATAGGGGTATTGCCAATTTTGTAGTATTTACTATCCCTAACATTTTATTTTATTTATATTATAAATTGAATTAAAATTTATTAGAATACGGTGTGTAATGTCCTCTGTTAGCTAAAACCTCTGTGTATTTATTAGGCATGCTGTTAATAAGATTGTCATTAATTTCGTGAGGCATTTCACTCAATAGATGCTGCAATGCTGCACCCAGTTGTTGAAGGTCAACTGGCTGCGGATGGTGATCGAAAAGCCTTCTCTGCAACGCATCCCACGTGTGCTCAATAGGAGGCTGGAGACAATGGGGGAAGGGGCAGCGAGAAATACCCTGGTTTTCTAAACATTGATGAACAACTCTGCCTCTATGAGGTCTGGCATTGTCACCCAGAAATCAAAAATCCCTGTTTGAGGGATGTATCCATTGATAATTTCTGGGACATAACGTGCTGCGGTGAGGTCGCCTTCAGCAATATTGAGTCCAGTTCGCCCTCCAGTGTAAATCCCAGCCCAGGCCATTAAACCGCCTCCTCCAAACTGCACTGAAGGGAACACGAATTGGGGCATTGTACGCATCCCTTGTTCTAGGTAGACTCTTCAGCGCCTACTATATAGACAACGTGACATCAGTAAACATAACATTGGTGTTCTCTTCTAGGCGCTCGCCGCACCTTATGAGATGGTGATGGGCTGTAGCTACAGATCATCTCAAAGGTGCATACAATATGTGGCCAACTGACCACAAACAATTCATTGATAAATGGCCTTGTCAAAACATTTTATCCTTCATTCAGGATCTGATGACTGATGACTCGTTCTCACAATAATATTGCAAATTTCTGGTTCAAGACAATGTCTTTCGATGGTTAAAGAGAATATAACTGGATTAAAATAGAGAAAGGACAAGAAAAGCTGTTTGTTTAGAAAATGAGTAATCTTCATTTTTATTATCCTTAAGTAAATCCGTTACAAAAAAATGAAGATTTGTTTGTTTTTGGTTTGTATTTCTCTTTTGTTTTTTCCAACTAACAAGAATATGTCAGTTCATTTAATTTTAGAATCCCTGAAGTTGATCTCAATAAAGATCGAAACGTTGGCACGATAAAGAATTTTTTTTTTAACCTACATCATACTAGACCGCATCTCACAATTTCTATATAATCATCGACTAACGGTCACTAATCACCACACATTTAATTTTAGAGTTTTTTTGTGAGAAAAATTGATATAAAAACATTTAGAACCATTTAAGAACAGTTTGTTAGTTGGACGGTCGGAAAGATTGTTCAGAGAGTTTTGTAAATTAATGCAATCTAAGGCAGATGACATTTTTGTATAAATATTTTTAGGCTGTTAGTGAATAGAAGATAGACCAAGCTATCATTAATGAAGAAGAGAAAGAGAAAAGAACCAATATGGGAACCTTGTGGCACACCAGATAAAACCGAAAAAGAAAGAATTTAAAAGACTTGATTTTAACTATCTGGGTTTGTTCAGATAAATTATGCAACCATAGCTCAAGATTTTCAGATATCCTGTTCCCTTCTAGCTTTTTAATAAGTATGCTATGATCAATTTTGTCATAGGTCTTGGAAAAAACTACAGAATCCACCTGATAATCATCAAATATAACATCACTAATATGATTTTGATATATTAGCAAGTCAGTAACCATTGATCTGATTTCTTGATTAAACTCTTTATAAACTATATTTCCTGTTCTACATATTACACTATTTGCTTCTTTCCTGACATTCTCAATATAGAATCTATTTATGATTTTTTTTTTTTTAATTTGCATTTAATATGCTGTCAACAATGTTTGAAATAAAAACTGGTTGATAAGTTCCTTAAAAGAAACCTGGTCTATAATGACATGACTAACATTTTAGAAAAAAAATTCTTACAATTTGACATTTATTATTGTTTTTTACAAAATTCTCTAACCAACCATGGCCACTAGTGCCAAATAATAAATCGTCCGTCATTTTGTCACATTCTTCCGCTGATATTAAAGTTTTATTTATGTCTTTAAATTATTTGGATTTTAACGTTGATAGGTTTGATGGAGTAAAATTTTTTCCAATTTTTACTTTTATCATCACGCTCAAGCGGTAGAGCATTGGTGGTAAATTTTTCATTTCAAAAAAAGCGGTTTATAATAATTTGGGCCATGTAAAAGATCATCTCTTCAACAATAATTAATACTGTTAAATCATTATTATGCAAATTGAACAAAAAATCTGAGATTTATAAATCAATTGACAGGAAACTTCAGTGATTTATTGCTTACTTTTCCTACATAAAGCACTTGTATGACCAGTTTTTGAATAGAGTAACGTTATTTGGAACCTGTATACGAAGCACCACACTTTATACACTTTTTCTTAAAAAAATACAAAAAGTGATGAAGGTGATGCTTTCTATACCTCTCTATTTATACCTTTTTTTCACGACTAAATATGAAAATAATTCAAACTCAAAATTTTCGTCCAGGCTTAAGAAGTACATAGGCATTCGATAAAATACAATGACGTCCTTATAAATTAATTTTATTCCTTCTGCAAAAAAAAAAATGTATACGAACAAACAAAAAATGAAATTGATCAAAGAAAAAAAATCATAAATTAGATATGTAAACTAAAAAAAAAAAGGACGGGAAATTTAGATAATATTTACAGTTTTTCACTCACTCGCTCACTCACTCTCTCTTTTTTCTTCAGCACAGGGATAAAACAACAAACTAACAAGTATTTAAATAATACTTAATATAAAAAAACATTGTGATTTTTTTTTAGAATTTGATTATTATTATATACAGTAAAACAATTTTTTTTTTTTGAAAATTACAATATCTAAAAACTTGCTAAGCTTATTTACATTGATACAATAAAAGTAAATTAAATTTATATAATTTTTTGGTGTCAAAAATTTCTTTTTTTTAAATATATATTTGTATATATATTTGTTATTTTTTAATGTATTTTTTTTTTGGTTTTTGATTTCATTATTTGGTTATTTTTGTTTTGATGCTTTGATCGAAACGTTGTTCGAGAAGTCTTCCTGAGATGAACTTGAATTTTCAAAAACTCTGTGCATTTGGCTCTCTTTTTATGTTGTTGTTTTGTTTTCTGTTCCCTTTTTCTTCCTCTCTCACCGTCCGCATGTTGGCAAGTTGACGGTGAAAAAAACGTTGAGCTCGATGAGTGTGGCCAGGATGAGGAACATTAGGTACATTATCAGGCATGTGTGTCCGACCTGCGAAACACACGTTAAGTCAAATCTGTGTCAAAATATTGCGATGGTCAAAGCTGTACATGACAAAATGAAAAGAAAAGTCAACATTGATAGACCTTTTCAGGAGGTCATAGCTAATTTTGAATAAAAGACAGCACCAACTGAAGGTGGAACAGGAAATCTAGGGCTAAAGCTGAATTACATTGGTTCCAACTATCTTCCAAGCTGAAGTTGGATTCTAACTCATAAGGGCATTATTTGCTTTTAGCTCCAAACTAGTCTAGGAGTAGCTAAAGTCCTAGGAAAATACAAGATTATATAGAAGGAAATGAACAGGCTGATCAACTAGCCAAAGAAGAAGCAGCCATTGAACCTGAACCACAACCAGGTCACTGGAGTGTATTTATAGTTGGAGGTGAAAAAATGGCTTGAGAAAGAATAGGTTAAGCATGGGACAAAAGCTACAGGTGTAAAAAATTCATAAATCTTTCAAATAGGAAGGTCGACCAGAGATGTCAGCACATAACCTTTGCAAGAGTGAGTCAATTCTCACACCAGGAGGTATTATTTTAAGGTCATCATCAGGGCAAAAAAATCTTAAAGGTGTCTACAAATTGACATAATTAAATGGTTTTAAATTTTACTGAGGATAGATCAGTCCCAACATTGCCAAGGACTACAACCGCTATATTGGTATGACCTTTATCAAAGGGTTCTCTTCTTATCACAAGACGAAATTTCAATAAGACAACCTAGATATTCTCTTAAACTTTAACATTACAATCCCATAGATTCAACTTAGTAAGACCATACATTTGAATTTTTTCACCTAGACTTTTAAGTTTGTTACATTTCTAATTGTTTTCTTATCAAACCATATGCAGAGAAGTGAATTTCAGTAGGAGTTATATACCCTGTTCATGTCAAAATAGGATAATCCATACTTCACTATTTCACCTAGGTTTTTAGGTTTCTTAAACTTTCAATTTTTGTACCAAACCATATGCCCATAGTGTGTAGGAGTAGTCATATCATATTTACCCCTCCCTCCTTTTTATACAATGTCAAATTATGATGATCCATGCACTTGTGCCCGTTATAAACACATAACACTGCGTGAGGGACTTTTTTGCACCCCTTGATTAGTAGAGAATGCTTTGTTCATTCCTCCCATGTTTGGTTATGAATCGAGTCTACCTTGTTATCGAGCTTGAATTTGTTGGCGGCGAACGCGGTGTAGAGCATGAGCAGGGTCGAAAGAAGTGAAATGGCCGAGTACTCCAAGCCGCGAGAGTTGATCCCGACGAAGTGGTGACCGGCGCTGGTCGGCAGGAACGACGCCTTGATGAGCCATGGTAGACCAAGGCAGAGTAGGATGTCGAATGTGTTCGACCCAAGGGAGTTGGAGATGCCCATGGACCCGTGGCCCTGTTTGGCGACGATAACACTCGACACGGCCTCGGGTACACTTGTCCCTGCCGCCAAGAAGGTGATCCCCATGACTGAGTCCGGTATCCTCAAGGTGTCGCCTGAAATAAGTACACTCGTGCTCAAATAATTCCGTCTCGCATGTACAAGCTCTTTCTATTTACCCACGATGGTAATCATCCAGGCGACGAGGTAGGACAGGGAGCCGATCCAAATGATGCACATGAGGAAAGTAAGCGGGAACCATTTCTTGAACCTCGGCCTCTCGCAGTCCGGGATCGTGACGAGGAAGACGGTGTGGATCGGAAGGACCAGCAGCCACGCGAGCTTCCTCACTATCCCCTTTTTGTACGGGAAACTCACAACTGCCCAAACTGTCAAACAAACACAAAATATTATACCTCTTTCTATTTTTAACAAATCCTTCCATCTCACTATTCTTCATTCTCTCAATGCTTCTCTCGAATCTCACATATCTCTATATGCAATACTCACGTCCAGTTTCTTGAGGTTCTGGCGGCGGCCGGTTAGTCTTGACGTTGCCGTTTTGCTGCGGTAAGTCGCCTATGTTCATCTCTCCTCCTTCTGTTAAGAAAAGGAACAAATAAAATAACTTCAGCCGAAGAAAGCAGTTTCTTGTCTTACCGACAGCCCCGACAGCGTCAGACTGCGGCTGTTCACTCGTCTCCGAGCCGGTGCTCCCGGTCGTGCAGCTCTGAATCTTCTTGTCCCAGTACATAATGGCTATATAGACAATGTAGAGGAGGACGAGGACGAGCGCCTCGTACCACTCGACCCGTTCGTCGTGTATTATACAGATGAGTATGGTCACCGTGACACCGTACGCAAGGCAGTCTCTCGTCAGTGGCCACCAGTGGAGCGGGATCACCTGCAGAAACGTAACTTACATTACTCGGTACTTGAAATTCAAACTCGCAGTGAGGCGAGGGCGGGCGTGAAACGTTTCTTATGGAAGTTGAATTCGTTTATTGACTATCGGGATCAAATATGACACAGCCGGCCTACTTTGTTGCCTCAAACTCTGAATTTCAAGTTGACATCTAGGCTAAACATAATTTCTTCTCGAGTAACCATCCTATCGGTTCGGTTAGTGGGTGTAACTCATATCAATTACCTACCATTCCTGCTCCGAGGCCGCAGCATGCAGCAACGGCGAGTATGTTAAAGACCGCCGAGCCGACTATGGTGCCGATCCCGATATCTCCCTCAGTGATGAACGTCCCAATCACGTTGACGAAGAGCTCCGGGGCCGATGTGGCGGCCGCCATGAAAGTCGCCCCGGCCACATCGTTGGACATGTTCAGCGCTGTGTAGAAAATACATTTTAAAAAAAATCTCATATGAGTCGGCATCTAAGCTCACCTTTACATATTCGTTCGACGGCCGGAACGAAATATTTATCACAAACTAACGCTAACGCTAGGAATAAGTATAGTGAGGCGAGGACGTGAAGTACAACCGCCCCTTCGGACCTTTCTTGTTCGGTGAACCAGTCTTTTGGAAAATCGTCCATCGCCGGGGGTGTGCAGTTGAGCCTCAGGTGTGGATGCACACCTGCAACAATTGACAATCACTACTAAAGATATATTAGTGTATGACATATAGTCAAATTTTACAAGGTAAGTGGGATGCATATGGAAATTTCTCTACGTGGGAACAGAAATCACATCGCCCAATACGTTTAACTAAACTGCTCAAAAATAAATAGGGGTATTTGTAATTCATTCTTATTCTATTAATTTTAATTAAATTAACTGATATATGTATAGTGTCTAGTGACCGTTAGTTAATGATTATTCGGAGATCGTGACATGCGGTCTGGTGTGATGTAGGTTTCAGAAAAACATTTTCTTTATCGTGCCAACGTTTCGATCTTTATTGAGATCATCTTCAGGGCTCAAAGTGTTTGTCTTCTGTATAATTGTGCCATTCTTGCGGGTCGTGTTGAGAGTGCCCTGCACCTTATGACGCTAAGATAGGGCAGAAATATTGTCATCGCTGCAAGGAATGAACCCTTTCCAAAGTATCCGCCAGATCCTAAATGAAGTAAAAGATGTTTTGGCAAGGCCTTTATCAACCGCGAAGGAAAATTTAATTAAGTGAATTTGAAAAATAACAAATAAAAGATTTTATTGGACACATCCATACAATTGGACACAAGACAAGAAAGCCAATCAAGTTTGTGGGAAGTTGGCCAAACATCGTATGCCTCTTTGAGATGACCTGCAGCAACAGCCCACAACCAGCAACTCAGGAGAATATGGTGCAGCGAGCGGCTAGAAGTGAGATGCTGTTATGAGTCGTGTTTCTGTCTGTATAGTGATAGCAGGCACTGAAGAACCAAGAACAAGGGATGAGTACAATGCCACCGTTCGTGTTCCCTCCAGAACAGTTTAGAGGAGACGGTGTAATGGTCTGGGATTAACACTGGATTTGCCCTGGAGGACAAACTGGACTCCATATTGCTGAAGGTGACCTCACCGCAGCACGTTATGTCTGAGAAATTATAGACGGATACATCCCTAAAAACAGGGATCACATTGGCTACCCGCTAGATCCTGAATGAAGTATAAAATGTTTTGGCACGGCCTTTATCAATAAATCTTTGTGGGAAGTTGGCCACATATTGTATGCACCTTTGAGATGACCTGCAGCTACAGCCCACCACCAGCACCTCATAAGGTGCAGCAAGCGCCTAGAAGAGAACACCAATGTTATGTTTACTGATGCCATGTTGTCTATATAGTAGGCGCTGAAGAGTCTACCTGGAACAAGGGATGCATACAATGCCCCAGTTTGTGTTCCCTTCAGTGCAGTTTAGAGGAGGCGGTTTAAAGGTCTGGGCTGGGATTTACACTGGAGGACGAACTGGACTCCATATTGCTGAAGGCGACCTCAGCACAGCCCGTTATGTCCCAGAAATTATCAAGGGATACGTCCCTCAAAACAGGGATTTTTGATTTCTTGGTGACAAGCCAGACCTCATAGAGGCAGAGTTGTTCATCAATGTTTAGAAAACCAGGGTATTTCTCACTGCCCCTTCCCCCATTGTCTCCAGCCTCCTATTGAGCACCCGTGGGATGCGTTGCAGAGAAGGCTTTTCGATCACCATCCGCAGCCAGTTGACCTTCAACAACTGGGTGCAGCAATGCAGCATCTATGGAGTGAAATGCCTTACGAAATTAATGACAATCTTATTAACATTATTCCTAACACGTGCACAAAGGTTTTAGCTAACAGAGGACATTACACACCGTATTCTAATAAATTTTAATGCAAGTTATAATATAAATAAAATAAACTGCTAGGGATAGTAAATACTACAAAATTGGCAATACCCCTATTCCTTTTTGAGCAGTTTACATACATATCTCTTATTATTTGGTCAAAATTTCGATTATCGCACTGATTTGGATGAAGAAGAGGCACAAGCGTGATAAAAGAAGTGGATCAAGCATGGAACAAGAGAGGGGCAGAATGGGAATTTGCTACACTTTACAAAGAATTAGTGGACGATGGAGCAAAATTTTGTTTGCTGCATAACTTAAGACTTAAACTTTGTATCACAGGAAGAAATACGATATATGCACATAATAATTGATTATGTTACTTCCCAAGTGCATTCGATGCGTAAAAGTCGAACACTGCAAAATTTACATTTACAGGGAGGGAACGCAACGATTGATGCACTTCGTGTACGAGAATATTCACTGATTATTTTAATTTTGATGTATCTCTCTCGTGGATATAAAATGCCCATTTTTTTCTTATTTCCCTCCAGAGAGTATTTGTTTACGTCTGAGTCCATGTATTTTAAATTTGCCCGATCAAACCACACAGGATTATTTAGCACAAACTCAAAGAGTTTTTCGTCATCGTACGGCCGTGAAAACTAAAATATAGTCAATAAGAAATCCGACGATCACGGTCCGGTGACGACGGCAGCACGGTCACGGTCGCAAGCCGGGTGAGAATCAAAGTCATTCTGTTTCCAATAAGAATATTTTCAAGCCGGTGAACAAAATGCCGGTCACGGCACTGTCACGTCACTGGTGCGTATGAATCGGCCAACAGTGCTCCCACTGTCACCGGACCGTGATCGTCACATTTCTTGTTAACGATATTTTACAGTTTTTACGGCCGTACCACACGAATGACGATAAACTCATTGAGCGAAATAATCCTGTGTTGTTTGATCAGGCAAATTCAAAATACATTGACTCAGATTTCAAGAATTCTCTCTGAGAAAAATAGAAGTAGAAATGAAAACAGATGGTGAGTAAAGTACATTTCAGTACTGTTTATATTATGAATAGCGACATGGTGTAATAAATGATGAAGTACGATTAGAACTTGTTTTAAGGTAGTTAGGTATTTGATAACACGAGATATCATCAGAAGTGAAATAATCATTGAATATTTTTCGTACAGGAAATGCATCTGTCATTGCGTCACCTCTCCCTGTAAATGTCAATTTTGTTGTTTTCGATTTTTCACTCTCGAATCCACTTTGGGAGTAACGTAATTAATTTTACGTTCGTATGTCGAATTTCTTAATGTATTGAAAAGTATAAGTCTTAAGTTACGCAGCAAGCAAAATTTTGCTCCATCGTCCACTAATTCTTTGTAGTAAATTCCCGTCCTGTCCCTCTCTTGTTCCATGCTTGATGTCCCCACTTCTGATGTCTCGCTTGTGCCTCTTCTTCTCTCTCTCACACACGCACACACACACACACACACACACACACACACACACACACATTCTCTCTCTCTCTCTCTCTCTCTCTCTCTCTCTCTCTCTCTCTCTCTCTCTCTCTCGTCCCAAAATTTGTGAGAATTTTAAATAAAATTATATTCATTTATTCTCCCACTCACTCTAACACACGCAACACACACATTTTCTCTTTCTCATCTCTTCTCTCTCCCTCTTTCTTTCCATCACTTCATACTAATCCCCTTTGTTTTGCTCTTGTCTCGACCTTTAATTTTCCTATTTGTTCAAACCCTCTGTTTCTTTTCTATTCTTGATATTTTTCTCTGTTTTTCTCTTCCACCATCTCAATCAACCCTTTTTTCAACCATTCCATTTTTCACAGTCTTGCTTCATCCTGCATTTTTCGTATTTTTTCACACCTCTAGCGTGCACCTCTTTTTTTACGATTGCTCCTCTTTCACCTTTTTTCTTTCTTTCCTTTCCCTCGATCTAGTTTTATCTCTATTTTATTCCTTTGTCTCTTTTGTCTTAGGTTTTGTTTTTTAAATGCTTTACTCCTCTCACTTGCGTCCTTTCGAATTTGTTCTCTTTCTCTCACTGCTCCCTTTCTAACTCTTTCTACCTCCTAACTCGTACATTCTTCCTATATTATTTTTCCCTCTTTGTCCCTTCCTCTCTCACTCACATTCATTTTCCATCTTTCACTCTTGTCCCGGCCTTTATTTTCACTCCTCTATCATTCGCACCCTTTTCAAATCGGTCCCTTTTATTTTTCTGCCCCTTCCCACTCTTTCTTTCACTCTTATCTCAATTTTTATTTTTCCTTGGTCGTCTCTTCCCTTTTTTCCCACGCGTTATCCGTGGTTGGGGTTCAGTCTTGTAATACCGTTTGGAATTTTCTTTTTGGATTAATTTGAAGTATTGTAAAGCTGTGGTAGAAAAATATTAAAAAGTCTTCAACCCTGGTTTTATTCTCCTTTCTTTACAACCGTTGTTAATCAAGTCAAGTGCTTGTGTGTTTATGGGTGGTCAGAGATAGAGTGAGAAATTGTACTTTTTGTAATTTTTTTTTTTTGTATTGTATATATGCAAAATGTAATAGAATCAGTCCCAATCAGTCGTACAAATTAAAGAAAAAAAATAGAGATATATATACACAGATTGAAATAAATCTCCATTCCCTGTCCCAAAGGGCGTGAAACAGGAAGCATGCCCATTGTATTATAATTGTCACAAGGCCCACACCCAAAGCTGGCTCTTTGTCGACCAAGAGCTTTTGTCGGAGCAGTCACAGCCGGTTGACGTCCCCGGATCACTATACAGTCAATCCGACACATGAAATTCTGTTCAAACCTTATACTAGGGACGGTTCGAATATACAGCGACAGTGCCTGTTTTACGGACGAAGGCATGCTAAACCATCAGAGCAAGGTTGTTTCTCAGGTTTAGCATCCGCCGCCCCTTCCTCAATAACTACTAATTTTGGTACTCTTTGTACCTGCGCGCCCAATAAGGCGTAGGGTAAATAAATTACAAAAAAAAAGGAAAATACAGAATCTCCTCGCTTCCAAACAATTGTAGCCTGGACGTCGAAAAGGCGTCCGATTTTTTTTAATCCGATAATTCGCCCCCACTTCCCAGCCCGCAGCCACCGTCGTTAAACAAACCAAGGCCGACCCGTTAGATGACCCCCAAGGCAATTTTGTGAACTGCAAAACAATAAAATAAAAAACCCTGAATATTTGGGGAGGGGGTAAAGAAGAAAAACCTACACAGCCAAAAAATACAAATTATAAAATAAACACCATTTTTATACCATTATTCTTACCATACAATGACG